TCTTTTCATTTGTCTGTTGGTCATCAGTATGTCATTGGGAAAATGTCTTCTGCCCATTTTTTAATTGGTGTGTTCGCTGTGTTGATGTTGAGTTGTATGAGTTCTTTGCCCCTTTGGATGCTAACCCCTTATCAAACACATCACTTGCAAATACCTTCTCCCATTCAGTGGGCTGCCTTTTCATCTTGTTGATGGTTTCCTTCACTGTTCAAAAGGTTTTCAATTTGATGTCATCCATTTATTTTTGCTTTTGTTTCCCTTGCCTGAGGAGACAAATCCCCCCGAAATTGTCAAGATCAATGTCAAAGAGCATACTGCCTATGTTTTCTTCTAAGAGTTTTATAGTTTCAGGTCTTCTATTTAAGTCTTTAATCCATTTTGAGGTTTTTTTTTTTCAATGTGGTGTAAAAAGTCGTATTTCTTTTGCATGTAGGTATGATTTCAATCTTCTTAAAATTACTGAGACTTGATTTGTGGACTAGCATGTGATCTATCCTGGAAAATGTTCCATGTACACTTGAAAAGAACATGGATCCTGCTGCTTTTGGACAAACGATATAAGTATATATCTATTAACCCTACCTGGGTTATTGAATCATTTAAGGCCAGTGTTTTCTTACTGATTTTCTGTCTGGATGATCCATCCACTGAGGCAAGTGGGATGTTAAAGTACTCTGCTATTATTGTGTTGCCGTCAATTTCTCCCTTTGTGTTTGTTCATATCTGCTTGATGTATCTAGGTGTTCCTATGTTGGGTGCATGTACAGTTACAATTGTTAATGGATTGAGCCTTTCATGATTATGCAATATCCTTCTTTGTCTCTTGTTAGTGTTTTTGTTTTAAAGTCTATTTTGTCTGATATAAGTATTGCTACCCCAGCTTTCTTTTTATTCCCGTTTGCATGGAATACCTTTTTCCCTCCCCTCACTTTCAATCTGTGTGTGTCTTTAGATCAGAAGTAAGTCTCCTGTGAGCAGCAGATATATGGGTCTTATTTTTTCATCCCTTCAGCCACTCTCTGTCTTCTGACTGAAGTATTTAGTTCATTTACATTTAAAATAATTCTTGATGGTTATGTGCTTATTGCCATTTTGTTAGCAGTTTTCTGATTGTCTTTATAGTTTTCTTTTTTCTTTCTTCTGCTTTTGCTCCCTTCCCTTGTGATTTGATGACTACCTTTAATGTTTTGTTTGAATTCTTTTCTCCTTCGTGTGTGTATCTGTTATAGGTTTTGGGTTTGTGGTACCATGATGCTCATATATAAAAACCTATATAAATACATGGTTATTTTAGGCTGATGATCTTTTAAGTTCAAATGCATTCTAACAACCCTCCCTTATTACCCCACATGCACACTGACTGTTTTGCTGTTACATTTACACCTTAACCACTTACTGTAGATGTAGATGGTGTTACTGTTTTTGTCCTTCGATCTTCCTATGAGACTTGTAAGTTGTTGATCTACTATATATTTTACTATATATTTGCCTTTACTAGTGAGGTTTTTTTTCTTTCATAATTAGCATAAGTTCTAGTTGTGGTCTTTTTTGTGTGTGCTTAGAGAAGTCCTTTTAGTAGTTCTTGTAAAGTTGGTTTAGTGGTGCTGAACTCTTTTAGCTTTTGTTTGTCTATAAAACTCTCTCTCTCCTTCAGATCTGAATGATAGCCTTGCCAGATGATAGAGTATTCTTGGCTGTAGATTTTTTCTTTCATCACTTAGTATATTTGCTGCCACTCCCTTCTGGCCTGCAGAGTTTCTGCTGGAAAGCAGCTGATGATCTTATGGGGGTTCCCTGTAGGTTTCTTGCTGCTTTTAAGATTCTGTCTTTATCTTTAATTTTGGCCATTTTAATTTATAATATGTCTTGGTGTGATCCTCTTTGGGTTGATCTTCTTTAAAACCCTCTATGCTTCCTGGATCTGGATGTCTTTTTTCCTTTCCAAGGTTAGGGATGTTTTCAGCAATTATTTCTTCAAGCAAGTTATCTGTCCCTTTCTTTCTCTTTTCTCATTCTGATACCCCTATAATGTGACTGTTACTATGCTTGATGTTGTCACAAAAGTCTCTTAAACTATCCTCATTTTCTAAAATTCTTTTCTCTGTTCAGCTTGGTTGATTTCCACTACTCTGCCTTCCAATCACTGATCCATCCAACTGCATTATCTAATTTACTGTTGATTCCTTCTAGTGTTGTTTTTTTGTTTTGTTTTGGGAGGGGTTTTTTAGCAATTGTATCCTTCAGCTCTGTTTGGTTCTTCTTTACATTATTTGCCTCTTTGTCGAAATTCTCACTGTGTTCATTCTTCCAAGTTCCATGAGCATTTTTATGATCATTACTTCAGACTCCTTATTACATAGGTTGCTTATCTCTATTAAACCAAGCTTTGTTTGGTTATCTTTCTGAGGTCCTCTGTCTCCTCATTTTTCCTAATGCTCTGTGTTTATTTCTATGTGTTGGGTTGTTAGGTTACATTTCCCAATCTTGGAGAAGCGGCCTTGTGTATGGGATGTTCTGTGGGGCCAGCAGCTCACTCCCCTCTGGTCACCAGAGCTATGTGCTCCAGGGGTGCCCCCATGTGGACTGTATGGGCCTTTCTGTTGTGGCTTTCTGAGCAGTCAGCTGTGTGACCCAGGTGGGTCTCAGAGCTGGGTCCTGGAGCAGCTGCACGTGGGGCCCAGGGGAATCCCTAGGCTGATGGTCAGGGCAAGGTCCCTGTGCCACTGGCTGCCCAGCCATAGGAGGGGGGTGTCCCAGGACTGATGTTGGTGGGCTGGTGTTGAAGAAGCCCCTGGCACTAATAGACTCCAAAGTGGCATCCACATAGTAGAACAAGTTCCCCAAAAATGGCTGCTGTCAGCATCTCTGTCCCCAGGGGTGTCCCAGTTGCCTCCTGCCTCTCCAGGAGGATCTCCAAGATCAGCAGGTGGTTCTGACCCAGGCTCCCTTCAAGTCACTGCCTCTGCCCTGAGTCTCAGAGTGGGTGAGATTTTCCATGCAGCCTTTAAGATCAGAGTCTCTGCTTCCTACAGCCTTCTGACTCTCCTGAAAGTGAGCCCCATGGGCCTTCCCAGACTGAGGTTCTGGGGGCCTCGTCTTCTTGGGACAGGACCCCCAGGGTGGGGAGCCAAAAGTGGGGCTCAGTCCCCTTGCTTCTTGGGGAGAACCTCTACGATTGTGAAATTCCTCCTGTTTGTGGCGGCTGACCAGGCTGTAGTCTTGACGATACTGTCTCACGGCTGACCAGGCTATGGTCTTGACTATACCGTCTCCTCTCTGTTTCACTGTGGTCCCTTCCTTACACCTTTAGTTGTGGAAAATCTTTGCTGCTAGTCTTTGTGTCTTTCCCCTGATAGTTGCTCTTTAAGTGGTTGAATTTTGTTGTGCCCTTGGGAAGAGGTGAGTTCAGGGTCTTCCTCCTCCTCCATCTTGGTCCCTCTCCCATCACTCCTAATTTTAGAGCTTTTAACAGTCACCTTTAACGCAGCGTTTGCTTCCTCCTTCATTTGTTCTGCAAATACACTTGAGGGTCCTGGTGCCACAGCGGCCCTGGAGAGGCATGGCAGTGCCTCCTGGAGACACACAGAGGCCCACAGGACCCAGAGGAGGGGCCCTGCCAGATGGTCAGGAGAGGCTGGGGGTCCTTAGAGTGTAGACTTGACGGCTGAGTAGGGCTCATCCCTGAAGGCTGGGGAGGGGGCACACTCTAGGACAGATGGCTACGCAGAGTCAGAGTGAGGTGGAGGTTCCCCTGATGCCCACGGCATTCTGCAATTTCACTGTCATTGAGTAGGGTCTGTCCCTGGTTTGGCAGCACCTGCTCTCCAAATCGGCCTTTCCCTGCCTCTTGGTGAGAACAGGGTGAAGCCCAGCCTCTAGTGCCAGGGTGAGGACTGAAAAATCCCCTGAAAAAGCAATACCAGGCAGGACCCAGGACCTCTAGGTGTTGGGGGTGGTGACAAGTAGGAGGTGTCTCCCAGCTGCCCCCACCGCAGCCGCCCACCCAGATCCCCCTGCCCACCCTTGACTCTGCACATGTCGTCTTACTCCTCCACCAAAACCCCAACAGGTGTGGGCTCGGCGTTTGGGGGTTAGACACATGAGCCACATAAACCCCAATTCAATGAGCCAACAGCCCTGGAGATTTAAAGTTGTTTTTAAGGGCTCTGCTGCTGGTCTCCAGATGCTGTGGGCTTCTTTAGTCTTCATAAGCGTGTTTCTGAGTGTGGAGGACTGGTCTCCCTGAAAAGCTTCTAGACTCTGAAGCAGGTGGCTCACTGCATTCACACTCTTCTCCTGGTTTTCTGCACCAACACGTCCAATTCCCCCAGCACGGCTCCTGGCCCCCATGTGACGGGGAACTTGGCTCCTACTTCCTTCCTTCCAGAAGGTCTTCCAGTTTCAAACCGATGTCCACTGGCTTCTCTGTTGTGCATCCACATGTGACTGGGCTCATCTTCGTCCTGGGCTCAAGGCATTCTGATTCCCAGCTCCAGCCACTGCTGTGGCCGCTGTCCCTGCAGCAGAATACTGACAGCCAGATTCAGACCACAGAAGTTGCTTCCCCACTGCTCACGCCCACACACGGGCATTCACACACAGGCCTGCATTCCCAGAGACGCATGCGCTTACATGTGAGCCCACACATGTGCTCGCTTCACCTCTCAGGCTCCTGTGCAAGAGCGACAGGGCTGTCAGGGCAGGATGCTGAGACCCAGCCTCGCACCCCAAAGCCCCTGGACGGCTTGGTGAGGCTCTTCACACATGGGAATCCGCAGGTCTCCACGCAGCGTCCACAGTCCCTCACACATGGCTCTGCCCTCGGCCTCCGTGACCCTGAGCTCTACAGGGGTGGGACTCACCGACCAGCAGGACCAGGCACGAGCATCGCGTGCTCGAGACGTCCTGCCTGGTCCTGTGCAGCTTTCAGCCAAGGCCACAAAGCACACATTTCACAGCCTTTCCCAACAGATGCAGCTTCAGAGTTTTTCTAGGCAAAGTGCTGTTTCCCACTCTCTCCAGCAGGAGCACCTGTCATGTGCTCCAGGCCTGGGCTGTGGTTTCCCTCTGGACGTGCGAGAAATCTTGTTACATGCAGCCACATGTACAGCTGCGCCGGGGTCTTGCCTGAGGTGGGGCAAGGTTCCACCAGGCTCCCGGCTGCTGTCCTGCTTTGCTTAGCATCCTCCTGGCCACGCTGACCATGGGCAGCACACATTCTGCACCACATACGTCAGCTTAGGACAAACTCCTGGGCTCCAGATCTGATTCCAGCAGTTGCGTCTGACTAATTTAGAGGGTTAACAGTCAAAGCCCAAACATGCCCTAAGAGTAAAGCCGAAACAACGGGCTCTCTCCCCTGGGTCGGCGCTGGGCCCTTCTTCATGGCGTGTGACCTAGAAGCTGTGTGGAGGGAGTGACAGAGTTGACCACTGTCGAGAGCCGGGGCCTTCCTCCCCCGACCTGCTCCACCTCGGGTCAGCCCTTCAGTCCTCACAGTCAGAGACAGGTGGCTAACAGGCACATGAAAAAATGCTCAACATCGCTAATTATCAGAGAAACGCAAATCAAAGCTACAGTGAGGAGTCCTTAGCCGTGTTCACCTCAGATCACCCACACATAAATACAAAGAAAACTAGATCGTGCTCAAGTCTGAAACTGGGATTTGCCGTGCAGCTCGGGGAGTGCAGGGGAGCGCTACTGGGGCTGAGCTGCCTTCTTCTTTGTAAAAGAGCTGGTTTCCAGCCCGGGTACCGACAGCACAAAATGACTGAGTTGCTGTAAATTCTCTCTCCAGAAAATGAGTAAAAGCCACACCCTGAAGAATCCTGCACGAGTATCCTATGATGCTGGCATGCTGAAGACCTTCTGGGAGAAAAAAATAGAGCTTCACACGAAGCAACTGCAAAACGAGGACATGAGGATACGCAGGAGTGCCCTGGACAGGTGAGTGGCGCCCGGCGACCGTGGGGCCACGTGCACCACAGACACACCCCAGTGCCGGGCAGGGCTCAGCCCTCAGGACACGAGCATCCACAGACTCCCACCACCATCTCCCCTCCCAGATCAGTGTCACGGGGGGGCGGGTAGGGGACGAAGCACTGAACACCGCCACCTCAAGTCAGCTTCAGAATTACAGCACTGAGTCGCTAGTGGGAGAGAGGAGCACCCCGTCCCCTCCCCACTGCATCACCCGCTCCCTACTCCATCATCCCTCCCTTTGTCGTTTGTTCGGCTTAGTCTGTTTTTCTGATAGTTGCACCCACCGAGTGCAGGACAAATCGATGTGTCTGCCTTACTTTCCCTTATACGTCTGCTGGACTTGCAGATTCAAAGCCAGTACCTTTTCTTTACTAGGTGGACACCAGCGGCCTGTGGGTGCTAAGAGGGGTCTCCTAGGTGACCCTGAGCAGACCCAGGAGTGACTGATCAGGGACAGCTAAGAAGATGTATTAGCACATAATTTGCACCTAGGCAAGGGCTCACGTGGCCAAACTTCCAAAGCGGTCACAGCCTTAGTCCCCAAATAGCACCAGCAGCTGCAACCCAGGGAGCTGGGTGGGGAAGGATTGGTTCCTGGCAGCTGTGTTGGGACCAGCTTGGGACTGACCTTGCCAGTGGCCAGAGGTCTGGGTGCCGTGCTGGCCACCCCCCGCACCCACCCGTCATCCAGGACAGCTGGCCGTTCAGCACTGGCAAGGGTGCCATGGTACCTCCTCTCCCCCGGGATAAGGCCCACAGAGCAGGCGCTGCACCCGCCCGACCTCTTGGGGCAGGAATCCCACAAGAGCCCAACCTTGGGGGGAAGCCCAACCTCAAGCTCCCTCCTGGTCTTCGTGTGCTCATCCCTGTCCTGCATGTGCCATCAGGCCCCAGAACCTTCTGGGTCTTCAGTCTGTGGGTGCAGGTCCCAGGAGTGGGCTGCAGATCAGTGAGAGTGCTGTCAGCACTGGCCAAGTGAGTCACCGAGGTCCTGGACGGGCAGGGGCAGGACGCTCTCGCCCCTCTGGGGAGCTGTGACTGGTTATCTGGCCTTGGATCTCGGCCAGAACGTGCCCAGCCCTCTAGGCAGCAGCTGCTCCTGGCCACGTCCCCACAGCCCTCTGCAGCCTGGTGAGGGGCAGGGACAGGCCAGCACACATGGGACCTGGCTGTCCAGGGTCTCTGCCCACTGCTGGGAGAGCCCTCCTCATCCAGGTCCCTGGGCACTTGGACCAGAGTCCACGTGGATGCCTCTTACCAATTACCGGCCAACCCTGGAGGATGATACAGGCCAGGTGCCCACCCACCCTCCACCCTCCAGACCAAACCACATGTCTGGAACATGGGGCAGCCATGGCCTGTGGGCAAGTGTCCGGGTCTGGGGAGGCCTGACACCCTTGGACCTGGGTCACCCTGTGTATTAGGCTGTGGTCACTACAACAGGCCATCTGCCAAGGAAGGGACTGCCCGGCAGGGCCAGGGTTGGGGCGCTGGGGAGGCCGGGCCAACTATGGGGCTGCGTCCAGGCCTCAGGAGCACAGGCTTCTGCAGGGACGGGAGCATCAGGAGGTGCAAGTTCAGGCCCACTCAGCCCCCACTTTCCCTCCTCGGGGGTTCCTGAGCGAGACCCTCCGTGGTGGGTGTGGCCTGAAGGGCCCTCTGGGACCCCACAGGTGCCCAGGTGCCAAGACTCAAGTGCCAAAATTTTCACCTGTCCCAGGCTCCGCAGTGAGTGGGCTCAGAGGCTGGAGAGGAGGAATCAGATGCTGCAGAGCAACCAGGAGGCGCCGACTCCACCAGGCGCCCAGGCCTTCCACACCCAGGACCCGATGGCGGCCTGAGGCCAGACCCCTGTGCAGACCAGCTGCTTCTGACGGCCCGTGGGGCCCCGGTACAGTTCTCGCTGGCACGACGCAAGTGCCCAATAAAAGCCAAGAGAAGTGAACATCTGGGGCCGTTTTCCTCTTATCTGTGAAATGTACACATGTTAAAAATGACCGTGATGTACTAACTTGCAGCAAGCCATAGAGAGAAACTACTGGGCTGCGGGAGTTGTGCAGATTCAAACACCAGTTCATTTCCCCTTCAGTCAAAACGTGTGCAAGATCACGACCCCAGGGCCACACCCAGCGTGACATGTGTGAAGCCTCGTGCTTCCCCAGATTTCCTTTAAACGTTTCCTTCATGGCCCACGACACCCCAGGAAACTAAGCAGCCATGGTCTCACAGTCGGAAGTTTCTCTGGGGTTTGGAGGCACGAATCCCCTAGGACTACAAAGACCACTTGGCCGGGATGCGGTGCTTCGGGCTCATGTCCCCCTGCCCCTCACCCTACTGTGGCTGTGACCACCTGGGATGGGCAGGAGGGCTGAACACGCAGCAGAGGCCAGGCCGCAGGAGGACCTGGTCCGTCTCCCCTCCCGATGAGCCAGGACTCCAGCCAGCGCCTGTCCTGACATCTGCGCCCAAACTGCACAACATCCGCCCACTGGTGTGCCCAGTCACCGCGTCCCCTCATTGGCTGCAGAAATGTGGGTGTGGGCTGGGGACCAGCCCCCATCATCTCTCCAGACTGGGTTTGGGTTCTGTCTGGTTCTGACAATCTGATCCGGTTGGCAAGGAGAGGGGATGCCTGGCTTCCCCGGCCATTGGAGCCTCTCCAGAGATGCCACCAGAGCAGAAATGGCCCCAATGGCCACATGACGTTCTGTGCCAAACGCAGATTCCTTGAGGGCATTTCCAGGGCTGACTACGCAGACTACACAGGTCAGCAAGTGTCCAGCAGGGAAGGGCCTGACACAAAGCGTGGTCTGCTGGCCAAACGGCCCAGGGGAGAAGACCCAGTGAGGGTCCCTCATGACGCCAGCCTGAAGACAAACACGTCCTTCAGTCACCCCAGCCAGCGTCACTGCTCATGACTCAGGAGATTCCACTGACAAACACGCAGGAACGTGGCAATGAATCGCCCTAAAAATAGCGGGAGAATAGAAGCCGGTCACTAATCCTCGCAAAGCCCAGGCGGCTGGAGGTGATTTCACCTGATGATGTGCCGAGAGCTCCAGGCTGTCAACACCGACCAACAGAGATGTCAGGTCAGATAGTTTGGGATGGACAGTCCTTGTCGAGTGGCTATGCAGAGTCTCCCATCCTGGCTGCCAGGTGCAAGGCCGTCCCTCTCCAGTGAGCCAGCCACCGTCCCCTTCGCAGCAGAAGCCAAAGCAGCATGAAGACACGGCTGCTAACTCCCCACCTCTTCCCTCTTGGTCACTGATCTGAGCCTCAGGCAAAGCTGCTCTGGACTCTGACACTGGAGGGTGCTTGGAGGGTGCTCGGCAGGGGAGAGCGGACAGGGAGAAGGAGCCATGGGGCGGGCGGGCAGCCTGGGGAAGGGAGAGCGGGGCTGCGGGGCCCCAGCCCCAGGGCCCAAGGGGGCTCAGATCTGAGCCCTCCCCGCACCCAACACCCAACACTTACGTAACCTCCACGTGCACAGAGGGTAGCTCTGAGTCCCAGCGCCAGGGTCTGATCTTCGACAGAACAACTGCCCTTTTCCTCTGGAGCAGAATCTGAGACACGGGGCCACAGGGCTGATGCTCCCGCCACGCAGCCTGGAGAAAAGAGCAAGGGGGCCTTTCTGTCTCCGTGAGCAGCCGTCCTCCCACAGGATCTGCAGTAGATGAGGGTTAAGGCAGTGGGAGCAGAGGATGCAGGGTCCCCCAGTGCCACCTGGACGCGAGGGCAGCCCCAAGCCCAGGGCACCTCTGCTCCCTGTGCTGGGCACAAACCCCCGCTCCCGGCAGGTCTGTGCGGGCACCTGCCGCTCTGAGCCACCCGCAGGGTCCGTCCTCTGTGCTTGTCAGCCTTTCCCTAAAGTAGTGTCGCCTCTCAGGTCCCCTGTTCACCTGAACACAACAGGAGAATGCCAGCTGGCCAGCTTGGGTTTGTCCTGCTAAACTGTTGGAAGGTTTTCCATAACTCACACCAAGTTTTGCCACATTCAGTTCTGTTGAATAGAGCCACACACTTTGA